TCGTTAAAGCGTAGACTCTAGAGATGAGGAGGTGTTCGGAGAGCTGGAGCTGAGGGCGGATGCTGAAGCTGGAAAAAGTGGTTCAGGAGTGTCTGTTGAATAAAGTGAGAGGGGCTCTCTCTCTCTCTCTCTCTCTCCACACCACCCTCCCTCCTTCTCATCTCCTCTCTCACATTCACACACAACCCCTGCTCCTACACACAAGTGCACATGCTCCGACCTGAATTCGTGCCATGGGGTGACTGAAGAGTTATTGAGAAATAAAGGTCCAGTCTATCAAACTGTGGGTCTGCTTTAAGTCGTGATGAGACAGGAGGGAGACTGGAGCAGCTGGTGGCCCATTGATCTGTCTCTGTACAAGAGCCTTCCACTATCTCCTCTCTTGCTATTGATGGAGACAGATGCCAATAAGATGACCCCATATCTCTCATTAGTATACTCGGCATCACGCTCACACACTGTATCAAAGTCATCCCCTACCAGATGAGCAGTTTGCTCGCATACGTTTTCAAGACAACGTATTTAGAAAACAGAAGTATATGGCAGAAGATGATCCACTGAAAAGCTGACAATGTTCATGCGCCACTGTAGCATTCAATTGGGAGTTTTATTCAGTGTTCTTCCATGAAGAAAATGAACAGCAATTGAATATGCATGACTCCATCCTGCTCAAGAGCTGCACCACTCCTCTAAAGGACGGATGCGAGCAGATTTCCTCCTCTGACAAGGCCAGATGGGATGCAATGAGATAGGATTTGATCTCCATCCTTCCACAGAGCAGAGGGCCTGCAACATCATGTATCATGTCAGATACAGGCCCAGACCTGACGCAACGAGCCAAATGTGAACCACACATTTATGAAGCCTCTTATTTTTATGTCCTGAGTATGAGCTTCCTTTCATGTCCCATTACAGCATTTGCATTTTAAATACTATCGCTTCCACCGCATTTTAGTGAACGTGGAGCGTCATTACTCTTGTTGACATAGGACGGGTGCTGGAGGTTGCATTTACAAATGAAACCTGCCCTAGATAAGGGTGCGTGTCAGCAATATGGAGATAGGAGCAACTGTATGCGTGGCATGTATAATGCCGACATAAAAATATATACATAGTAGCCTACGGCATTTTGTCCAAAAGTCACATCTACATTCAGCGAAAGATAGAAAAATATCAATGCGCCATCATTACAAATGCTTCAGCTTGTCTTGCTCTTACCTCGACGTTTTTCCACACGCAGTAGGACAATACAGCCATCAATATAGGTAATGCGGTATGTCCCATTTTCTCGCCTTCTTTTGTCTCTTTTTGTGACGAAGTTGCTACTGTAAAATAACTGACTCCAACATAGGCTGTCTGGTTACATCGGCTGAAGTGACGGTCGGTGCGTTCGTCGGCGGCTTCCTGCGATATCTCCTGCGTCGGGCTCGGGCTGGAATTTTATGTGGATGAAGCCTGACAGAACCAAGCCCTGTTTCTGCGGGTATTTATCACAGACTTTTCTCACGGCGTCCTCCGCGCCCTGACTTAGTGACGAGAGACATCTGGTGGCGGGGGAGTGGTGATGCAACCTGTAGGACCGTGTCATCTTGCTGGACAAAAATCCCGCAGCAGCTCCAGTGAATAAAACTCTCAACAGCTGGAGGACTCGCGTTGATATTACACATCTGGATGTAATATCTCACAGGAGAAGATTACGTTGTCTGAACACTGATACATGCAAGTCTCCCAAAATCTTATGATGCATCAGTTTTCATCAGTCAAACATCCATGTGGACAAAAAGCAAGCTACAGACAAAAACTACAGCTGCGGCTACAACTAGGAGATCACATGATGAAGAAATATGAGAAAAAAACACACATTTTTTGTGAAATACATTTGAAAGATAATTTTATCTTTAGGCTATCTTTTAATTCTCCAAGTTTCTAAAACCACCCTTTGGTTGAACAGCTCACAAATCAAATGACTGATGGACAGACACACTGTTTCTCAGTGCACGAGTCCAATAAATACATCCTGTATTAAGTGCATGTCTTAGTGTTAGTGTTATTTTAGACAATAGGCCATACATAATAACAGTGTTGTAAATAGACACAAACCAATTAGTCAGTGAATAAAAAAAATAATAGGTTATTTAAATAATGTATTGTCAAGCATGAAGAAAAGGACTACAGTTTCTTCTTTGCTATACAAAATCCAGAATATTGACTATAATGCATTGTATAGCACGGTAGATTATGTATTGTATATGCAGTGCATTAACCGAAGTGATCATACAGCATACATTTTATATTTATTTGAAACACAAACTTACAATTTTTTTTTTTTTAAAGTGATAGTAATAGTCCACGACAAATAGTTCGCTTGCCAGCAACATCACAAATGGTCGGCAGGGGGAACACACGGTATGAAAATAAGGAGAGAAAAAAAACAAACAAAAAACACTGTCCTGCTCCTTGCCTGTAGGATGTCCCCAAACTGAGGAGCAGCAGGTGGTTGAATACAACTTTACCCTGTGCCCTTAAACATTTAACATGCCAAAAAGACTTATGGACAGTTATTTGTTGTGGCTTTATAGTTCATTGAAGGACAGTCTAGTGAGAGGCCGGCCAATCCCAATGTCCCACCTAAGGCCTAACCCCCGAACCCACTTCATTGAAGTCACCTGGTTGAAGTGATTGAGTGTGAAAGGTCGCAAAGGCTCAAATGGTATGTGGAATGAGACAGCACATTCTTTATTCCCTTCCTTCACTTCCTGTTTGTTGGATCAGATCTGATGAAAGCAGATTTGGAATTTACCCGCTGGAGCCTCCAGCGCAGCTGCAAACAGGTATTATGGGGCGTGGTTTGAACCATAGGTGTGTGAGGAAGAGGTTGGCGTCTCAGCTATTTCAGCCATCGACGACTCACGAAGATATACTGTCACTTGGACTCATTGATTGTAACTGCACTATTTACTGGTGTAAACGCTACAGATTAATAATTTAGCAAAAGTCTTGGATACAAGCGAGAAGTTGTCTTGGATCCTGTTGGACTCCACTTGCGCTGTTTCTGGAAGATGTATTCTGCCAGATATGAATACGACGTAAGTTCTATCGCATTTCACTCTGCGGCTTTCACGTATGTTTGATGTCCACAATAGTTTATCACGTATCCAGAGAGTATTTTGCCCTAGATCTGTGTGTGTGTGTGTGTGTGTGTGTGTGTGTGTGTGTGTGTGTGTGTGTGTGTATGTGTGTGTACAGGAATTAGGCGTACATGAATGACTGACATTTCAAACACTTGCCCCTCATACTTTTAGCCTTTGACAGTTTTTACTTAAAGTTCTTTATATAGGCTGAGCATCAGTTTGTTTCTGTGCCTCTTGGATCATCTCTCATACTGGAATAAAGTTTTCCCTCCATTGTCGATGTTTGAATGAATGATTAAACTCGGGCCATCTGACTAGTGTTAAAAATTAGTCCTCTGGTGTTTTCATTTTGGCCAATGTGCTATCACACAGAGACAGACTTGAGAGTTGAAACTTTTGAATTCGATGTCAGTGTGGGAAAAGGAGAGGATTGTTTATTTACATCTGCTTTGCCTTCAGAAAAAAAGATATTGTGATGAATAATATATGTGCGTAATTAAATCATACATTCTGCAGAATATGCTTCATCTCTTTTACATCCTTGTATTATGCTTTACAAAACAAAGCTATTAACTTCAGCGAAGTCAGATTAATTTATGTCAGATAAAACAGACTTGGATACTACAGCTTTGCTAACACATTCTCATTGATGTTTACCTTTTAATAACCGTTTTAAGTTGAGCTTCCTCATATATAGAGACATTTCTTGAAGATGTATGAAGTGTTTTTATAATCTACCACTCAACATTGTGTAGCCTGTGACCTAGATCTGGTTAGATATTAAGAAGAAGTTGATCTCTGCTGTTCCATGCAGAAAGAGGGCTAGAGGCGTCTCAGTGAGGCGTACTGTGTCAGTATTAATAGCTGGTATTTACACTGCTAGTTTTTGCCGAGTGTATGAAAGACATTTGTTGCTTTTCAAAGCTGGTTGAATGTCAATTACTTTGGTAATTTCACAAATAACAAACGGAACAAACAGGGGAACTGTGTAACATTCAAACGGCTCCTAGAACCACTCCTGTGTTTCTGAATCAGTTTATGTGACTGCTGTCCAGGATCTACAGCAGTGTCTTGTTTCCATTGTATCCTCTCACCTAGGTGTGGTGAGGCAGCGGGTAGCCACATTCAGATAGTTGATGTTTAAATTCGCACTTGCTGTAGTTGTTGTGTGTGATGACACACATCTATAGTTGTATTTCTTGGTGAAATATGTTAAATTGTTGGATGTGAAAACTGCCAAAAGCTTATGTTGCTGTGAGTCAGATTCTCCTGGAACATACATGCGTACATTAATCCTTGTTCAAACATAATTCAGTTTTATTTGAGATTATATCAGACACCAGCACAGGATGTGCGCAAAAAATTGTGACAGACGGCCGAAGGTGAACTTCTCTTTCTAAAGGGACTCATTAATGGTTACAAGGCTTTGGTCAGTTCTGCTCAAATTCCCCGGCTCACTACAACCTTTATCTGACAGCTTCATGAAAACAGTTTTAACCCCCTGTGGAAATACACACTGTGTATCAGTATGTGTTCTATGTGATCTAATGATCTGATGTGAGCTAACAGTAAGCTTTCAGGCAAAATAAACTGTTTGTCTTTCTTAGTTTAGAGTGACATTAACAAGGACTTAAAAGAATCAGTATTATATTGTCAGAATACCCATGAGTGTCATCTCCTAGCTCGGAGATGACGTGTGACATATTTGACTTGTGAACTGTCAAGCGTGACCTTGCTTCTGATATAGCACAACAAGCAAACTAACTAACAAAACAAGTGCTGCTTTTTCCCTTCTCCAAAATCATATAGGTGTTTCCCAAAGAAATGATGAGCTGCATATATTTTCCCAATTTACATGGATAAATCACACGAAACTAACATTCAGAGACCTGTATATTTTAATATAAATCTAATAAATATACCAAAGTTGTCATGACACACCTCAGCTCCTTGTCTTTCGGAAAGCTGGGACAGATACTTGTTTTAGATTATGTAAGCGTTATGAATGAAACTGTTGGTAAATTAACATTTCTTTCTTTGTTAATATTTGATTACACACAGTCAATGAGGCCAGTCTCAGATACCGGATCAAATGGGAACACTATGATTAATGTAGTCACTCTGTTCTCTGTTTGTGTGGTGACTCAGCAGGGAATCAGTGAATAATTCTTCAGGCAAGGCCATACTGCTTTTTCTTTTGCATTTCATCCCACATTTCAAGGGTAGTCATGTTGAAACTGAGCAACACAAGAGAATTGAATGCAGTACTCACATTTCTTCTTCTTCTTCTTCTTCTTCTTTATCGCATTTCTTATTATCGACCCCACTAAATGATTTGTTCAGAAGCACTGACAAAACTGTGCCAAGTTTAATCTTTAACGCAGGCTTTGTTGGCCCTTTAGCTGTAGCCATTTCTGAGTACAGAATTTGCATTATATATCTGTGCACAACCTGGCGGAGGTTGCCTCCGTGTAAAGGAAGCAACAGAATTGTTCTTCCTCAGTTCTTTAGTGAGGAAGATGCAATGAGGGAGGATTTGTCGACTTATTTTCTCCCAATCTTCCGCCTCGCTCCACTTTAAGCAGCAAGGTGGTAGTATATGCCGTGAGGCTGTCTTCCTCATACGCGGCTAAACGGCTGATGCTGCAGTATAAGAGGCTAACTGCTAATGTCTGCTTGGGGCTACTGTCAAGTAAGAGATGTGTGTAGGTGTTTGTTTGCTCAAAGTAAATATGAGACCACTGAGGCCTAAATTTCATTGATTGGCTTGTCGTATTTGATTGGACCTTTTGGTTGCAGTCTCCAGGCTGGTTTGTTTTGATAGGATAGATCAGTGCTGGTGAGTGCAGAGAATGCACATGAGAGCTTTTTAAAGCAGGGCTCCACCAGTTTTACACATCAGTCTGTTCATAGGTCTTGAGGAGCCCTGCCACACTTGTGAAAAAAAGTTGTATAAAGCCTTTTGTGACTCTAGATGAATCTGATGAAATGCCTTCCAAAGAGAAAGAAAAGAGTTAGAAAGACAGGAGCTTAACAGACCTCTGTGGCCCAATCCTCCTCTCTGCTTGAGGCTAACGGTTTGAGACTACATTAGCCACCACTAACCACACACACCCAAATCTCTGACTGAACTGTCAGTGGCCGAATTGCATTGGGGGTAATATAGGTGCCATGTTTTGACAAGGAAGAAGAATGGAATAAACTGCTTTTGTTTGTTGGTTCTGCTACATTTTATTATTCATACCTTTCCGTCTGTGACATGTCAAAATGTTTTTTTTTTTTTTTTGTTGAAAAAGCCAAAGAGGGGTCTGTCTGTTGTCAGTGTTACTA